TTTTTTTTTTTTGTAATTGGAATTACTTTGATATTAATGAATTTGAGATGAAAAAATTAATGGTTTTATATATATATGTATAAATTTATAATGAATCATAAGGAATAAAATTTCATTCAACAGAAATAGAAACGTTGAAGAAGAGGATGAAGATTGTGGTATTATAAAATTATGAAACATTGATATTAATATTATGTAACATGAAATATATTTAGAATAGAATATAGATATAATATTATAATTATCAATAGTGTAATATTATTATACAATATTTTCAATAATAGATCTATTTTCGTAATCCATCTTTATATTCTATTATAAATCTAAATAGAAGAGGTTAAAAAAAAAAATTACAAATTAATACATGCTCGATTAGAAATTATATTTCATAAAACTTTTACAGCTAATAAAATTTATTTACCATAAATTTAACTGTAAACCGGTGATCTTATACAGATAGCAGATCAATTTATAACGATGGCGATAATTACCGAATGCTTCACTATCAGTGAATCGACTCGTGACTAATGAAAAGCCGATGAACCATCAAACTTGTAACGAATGCAACTGTAAACATAAATTACTTTACAAAGATAGGAATGAACTATAATTCATCGATATTTCTTTCCATTTTTCCATGAGATGCAAGCTAGGCGAAGCAGTTTCACTCAAGTCGGTAATCATTGTGCAATTAGGTTCTCGTCAGTTATGTTTCACACAAATCATGGTTAAGATAGCGACAAAAGCATCTTCTCTTTAATAAACGTGAAATTTCCTATAAATTGTTGCGAATAATTTAACAACGACGGATCACTAACGTCTTAATAACGTCGAAAGAACGTCTTAATAACGTGTGATAAATATTTCTCTTACGAGTAACAGTTAAAATTATTCAAGGCAAGTTAATTTTCGCAATTTTTCTGGTGTTTAAAATCAGATAATATACTTATAGCAATGTTCTCATCAGTTATAGCGACTAAGGATAATTTTAGAAAACTATGAAAATATTTCTAAATCATAAAATTTTATTTAAATCATTCCTATTCTTCTCGTATAAAATTTCATAATTTTCCAAAAACTCCAAGGATTCCAAAAAAATTCCAATAT